CCCATGCCAACGCTGAAAAACCAGCCAAAACGGCTTGCCAGCCAAGCTCCTTCAACAGCAGTGCCCCCGCTGGCTCCGGCCACATGAGACCACAAACGACCAAGGCCCGCCACACTCTTCCGGCCAAACCCTCGCTCGCCTCAACTCACCGACCAGAGCACACACGAACACCACCACCGCAACTCAGCCGACCACACCACCACCCTGCCTAAACCACGCCAGTAAAACGGCGATACCCCGAGCAACAGAGGAAAAACACAAAGGGAAACGGCAGACAGAAGGGGAAAAAAGAGGAGGGAAAAAAGGGAAAAGAAAGGGGAAAAAGGTGGGAGCCCCCCCAACCCTCACCCCCACCCCCACCCCCACCCCCAAACGAGCCCACTAGAAAGACCAAGAAAGCCTTGGTGGAGATTCTTTAATTTTTTTATTTTTTTTACCAAATTATTTTATAACATGTTCTTTAAATAAAACAACTTTTCCCAGATCTATATATATATTTTTTTACTATTAATCACATTCTTCGAGACAATTACTTTTCCCAAAATATATTCTCAAAATTTTACAAAAAAATAGGTTCATTATGACAAAAAGAATAATGTTATATAGTACTAGTGATGTTAGAGTATCAATCTATATAATATTATGTGACACGTTCAATTAAAAGTGAAATTAAGTAATTAATTTAACTGTATATTTTATTTAATAACACTGAATATCATCTGAACTAGTATTGTAACATTTATGGTTAACCTCATCACGGACCAATTGCTAGTTGAAACTAGATTCCTAGAAACGGATATAGCCACTACTTGCACCTGTTGCCTAGTTATAGTAAATTGTACATTTCAATGTTGAAATCAGTGACATGATATATATAATTCGGTGTTTGGCGCTCATTCAGAATGAGTTTTTGAATAGTGATTGATGTAAAGAATGTGTGGTTAAAAAGTAAGAAGAATTTTTAAATTTATGTGTAATATTATTTTATTTGGAGAATGTGTGGTTAAAAATGAATACTGTAGAAAAATGAGAATGAAATAAAAAATAGATGTCAAACAGGGGCATATTTGAATTTGCGCACACACAATAGAATATAGCTTTCGTACAAATAATTGACACCCAAATTTCTGAAAAGCAAGGATAAACATGACATACTACAATTCTATCCAAATGAACAGAAGAAAGAGATCCACAAAATGCAATTGCACAGCATCCTTGATAACTACGATGGAACATATACAGATTCCAATTTCATTAATTTTCCCAAATATTTATTCCATTTGTTTCTTTTTTTTCGATCAAATCCACGTTCATGAGTTCTAGTTTTTGTCCTTATTCTGTCTGTGCACCTATAATATACAGACACAAACCAAATGAATATCATATTAAACCAATAAAATGGAGTTCATGTGTGACTCTATTTGTCTTTATTTCTAAAAAAGGATGAATCGCATCTTTGACGGTCCACACCTGCCCTATCCTAAATCTTGGTGAAGGAGGTAAATCGCAGGTTATGCCTCCAAGGGTACAGAGTGGAAGGCTACTTCTACATTTGTACTTACCCAAATGTCAAATCCATATTTCAGGATTCGAACCCTTAACGCGACAGTTTCAAGCAAAGTTTGAGTTTTTCCACCTTCCCCTTTTACCACTTAGAGATGTGCCCTAAGGGCTATTTGTCTTTATTTCTAGTTAACTAAAGAACTTAGTTATAGTCCATTAATCTATGTGTATATATATATATATATATATATATAAAGTTGATAATGAAATTACTTATATTTAAAATTTAAACTTTTAAGTATTTTTATTCGAAAATCAAAATTGTAATCAATTTTCCATGCACTAATATAATCGTATCAATATATTTTTTTGGGACAATCGTAGCGTTAAACCTTTTTTCCCCAATGTTGTTACACAAAATTGTTCTTTTTTAATGTATTAATTCTCTGATTTATTTTTGAAAATTGAATCATAAGAACAAATTTAGGATTGCCAATTTTATGTATGAAATAGCTTATTTTTTAATTATTAGACTTTGAATTAATATTTATATTCGAAATCGAAATTGAAATTGAATTGTCATGCACTAATATAATCATACGGATTTATTTATTTTTAACAATTATACTATTAACTATTTACATCATCACGTGTGTTAGATTTATCATAATTGTCACGATTGACGATTTTATTTTTAATATATGAATAAGTATGTTTTCAAAATTGTTTCATTCATTGCTCGTCGAAATGATTATATTCCTATATAATTTATTCCATGAGTTTTCACCCAATCAAGACCCATCAACCCATATATTACATGCTTTTATACAGACAAAATCCATTATCCTGTGATTGCCTGAACTTGGACTATTCTTTCCAGGAAGTACCCACTCAACGTACGGTCATGATCCAATTGTCGGCGGCCAGTTCGGACCACCTCTCACATATTTATTTATTTAAATTATATATATAACTTTTATTTTTAGAATTAAGACAACTGTGATATAATAATACTGGGTGCATGTGATTGAGTTTGGCCGGCTCCACTGTATTTTGATGATTTAGAAAGGGGGCGGGCCTTGAGGGTTTAATATATCTGCACTGCAGGACATGTCTGATGGCATCTCTGTCACAACCCTACAATCAAATTGGCTAAGGCACTGGGATTTGTTTGGCATGCC